GCTTTCTTATTAAAGGACTTTCTCTGTATTAAAGGTTTGATTTATAAAATTCTGGCCATAGACAAATTTCTACTTATCAATTTCAGTGATAATTACATGTTTGGACCCACAAATAGAAAATGAACCCAATTTTTTGCTAGCTCAGTAAAATGCATCTTTAATTACTTACAGAGAGCAATATCTAGAATGATATCCATTTGTTTTAAATTGTGTCTTTTCAATAATATAACAACTGGAATTATACTAGTAATAGAAGGAACACCACACTGATTTTCACCCTTGAAATTTTGAGTAAACATTGCCACAGCACCGAAGAAATGACCACAAACTGTATACAGAGACAGCAAGAAAAGACCCTTTTCAAGGGAAAGGATACATTTACACAGATCTATAACATTACATAATATATGCAGTAGATGGATAGAGAAAATAACATCTACAACTTGGCTCCTTTGATTTCCGAGTACGTTTTTATGTGAGTAAAAAAAATTTATCGAGTATGAGTTGAAAATGAAAGTGGAGACAAGGAAACTGCTCACATCATCTTCATCAAGTACACAACTTATGAAATATCTAAATAATAGTGTAGCTGTATGTGAATATTTTTCATAACGAAAGATGTTCATAACAGCAAGGCCATGAATGTTAATTTCAGCTTCATGATTATTCCAGAAAAGATCTGAAATGATCTGAACGTTGTTGTATAAAAAGTACTTTCACACGTTTTCGATTCTATAATCTGAAACACAAAATTGAGGCAGTTCACAGCAATATAACTCCAATAACCTCACGCTTGAATATAAACACGTATGAGGGGTTATTCGAAAGACAGGAACCTATCGACGGCAAGTAAAAGATGGAACGCTATCGATATATAGGCTTCATAGGGACGATGTTTTCTCTCCCTGGAGACTCCAGAAACTGTATAACGAACCATTTCTTTCGACTTACGAGAAATTAATACAACGAATTGCAAACAGTCTCACTAAACGCTTGAAATTTCTTTTCACTGTCAAAGCTCATGTTCCATTTGAAATATCACGAAATCGGAACGCATGTTTACGGAGAAAAGTTCTCTGCGGAAATGATAACACCTTCATTTGACTCCTCGGCAAAGAAACAGTTCTAGAATCGTCTTCTATCAGAATAATTAACGAATAATTTCGTTCAATAGAAAGATCCTAAAGTAAAAAACAGAGAGAATACAAACGAAGGCTAACTTCAGATGGCCGCCATGTTTGCTCAACATAAATAATTTCTCGGGTTCTCTTATGGGTCGTATATGACGCGACGCCACAAAATTAGACTTTCTCGTTTTCAAATACCTACAGTTCTCATGAAATACTCCTACATACCTTTTTCAGCGATCCTGGAGCAAAAATAGTCAATCTTGCCGAAGAAACTTAACAAATACCAAGCACATTACGAAAGAGATAGAGAACAACCGAATATGAAAGCTGTGCAAAAAGCGTACGGCGTGAAATTTCCGGCAACGTTTTGCTTCTGACATTATAATTCAAGCATCATGGGGAAACTTAAAATAAAACGAAACTGAAAGCAAACTGTAAGGACCTTTGCCATGCATTTCTATTGTGCTGGTTTTTTCCTTTCATAATCGGTCCGTGAGACCTGTTTAATCCAGTCTGCTAAACCCCAACGCCAACCATGACTCAGCCGGCCAAGAACCCCGTCAGTCTACGAGAAGAAGCTTCTTTTTCGCTTCCCTTTAAAGTTTATTCAGTTTGAAAAGAAGAGCGATACATTTCCCTACGTTTACAGTTTTCAGTCAAAACACAGGCCTGTAAAAGCAAGGCTAAAACAAAGATCTTGAAGAATGTGCTGTTCGGCTACAAGCCCTTGGTCACGCGTGCTATGCATGGGGAGGGCCGACATAAGCGCCATTTGTACTTTGTATCACCTAATTCAACAACATTTAAAAGATATAAAACTGCTCAAAATGAATTTCCTAGACATTCCAGAAAGCCTGTTCTTTCAAGATTGAGGTTGCTATCATAGACTGCTGACAACAAAAGCTAAACAAATATGGCTCGCTCTTCTGCCAGCGCCCAGTGCGAATTTTGAACTTTAAGCGAGAGAAATCAGTACTTATCATCATCTCACTATCAACTACCACAAGGAATCCATTTACTTACCGAAATTTCGGCGCTAAACGCGTTGAAATATCCCCTAAAATCGTATACGTTCGACTTCGTACAATTCTCTCTCCCGGAAAATGAAGCGATTCCCTTTTGTTATGTGACGTCACAGTAATTCAGCTCAAGTGCCAATCACTCCCAATTAGCCGCATGTGATTGGCTACTTTAACAAAAAACCTCATTTAACCATGGGCGACTGAAAATAACTCGCAAACAGCGGGCTAAAGAAACGAAATATGACCGCAGCACTCTGGATCACATGTATTCACTAAATCTAGAGAGTTCAATCATTACCTTGTCAATATATTTTATATGATCTGTTCATTTTTTTGCGTGAGAAAGTGACTTAGATTATTTTAAGAAATCGGGGACTTTTGATAGTGTGTTTTTCATGAAATCAGTTCTTTCGATTGCAAATCAGAACACGTCACGAGTGCCTTCCGGAAGTCACGAACATCGCCTAGTCAACCTCGCTAACGTTCACGAACTATACGATCAGGCGGTGTCGTCATAATATTGCGTCATTCCTCGAATAGGTGGTACTTATGTTCGACGGTTTCTACATACTCATTACACTTGGATAACATTAACATTGATAAATTTTCCGTCTAAACATGATCGGAAATGATTCCATTACTTCCTGAACTGTTTTGAAAAGTTGGCGAAGGAATCATTCAATATGAAATTGCCAAAAAAAAAAAAAGAAAATCTGCCTCCAAAACCTGAGTAACATTTCTTTTTTTGGAATATTGCCGACCAACTTTTGTGCAACGATTGCTGATTCGAAACCCAATGTTGACATGTCATTTATAGTATGTTTTAACTCTAGCGTTTCATCTCTTTTTTCTCTAATTCTAACGTTCAGGAAATCTTCCGGAACTTTTAATCGAGCTCATAATGCCAAAAAAGGAAATGAATTATTAATAAATGCTAATCCCCCTAAACTATGGACGGAAAATTTCTCAGATACAGAAATCTGGTCCTATAAGCGTATGAATCGGTTAAACAATCACGATATTCAGGAGCTCCTGCGATCGTTTATAGTATTATAAACTGTTCATCTTGAGTTTGTAATAATGTTTCATCAATATTGTTGGCCGCAGTGTGGTAAACGTTTTTTAATCAGAGCAGTGTAAGATCCATAGCCGGCTTCCAGTAAATTTGGCCCTTAGGGATTCTTAAAGGATCATCATTTCCTTTGAGGCCTGCGCTTTGATATCTCGCTTTTCTTTCAAAGGAGGAAGCGGGGGGAGGGAGGAGGGGGGGGGG